ATTTTAACTTGTAATAATTATTTTTATGTTAATTAACTGATTAATCTTTCCATGTTAATCCACGTTGATTCTTTGAGGTAATGACATTAAAAAAAAAAAATTGTAAGGTTTACTTACTTTCTACTATATCCAGATCGTCCTTGATCACTAAGAAAGTTTTCTCGGATAAAAACCCCGTAGAGCTCTTCTTCCATTTCATGATGTCAGTAGACGCAAACAACACGATTACAATAATGTATCACTTTAAATTTAGAGTCGAATATAATTAGCGTGAACAATAATTGGTGCCTGCCCGATATCACTGGCATAAAATAGCGACTATAATTTCAAAAGTGAGTCGGCATTGGGAATTTCATAATAAATTATTTGCACCAAACCGCGCTTCAAAATGGATAGGCAAAACGTTATCGACTAAAGTGAGAAACTTTTGAATTTCATCATTCTTTTAATCAATTATTGACAGCAATTTCCGACTCTGACATTTACGGCTATCCTTTCTGTTGTGAATTAATTTTCTTTCAACTTTTCTATTCCCGTCTCTCTCTCTCTCTCTCTCTCTCTTTCTCGCCGTCGATCACTGAATTTAGCTTTCAACAGAATATTCATGATATCACTTAAACCATTATGTCATTTCTTTCGATCCCTATGAAAGGAAAATTGAATTGCAATTCATATGTTTATAATACGAAATATATTAACCGCACCGTTTTAAATGCAATCGCAGCACTGATACTTCTCGTACGAATTCAAAAATGATCGACAAAAGATCGCGATAACTATTTAAACATGCGAGATATTATCGAAGATGTTTGATACAATAAAATTACTGACTTTCGGAAACATGACATGCATTAGCGTTTTGTTTATTGCACGACAGATATGATTCAAAATATAAATCTTTTTTTAAAGTGACGCAAAAGTATGTTTTACATTAAGGAGATCAACAATTGAATCAGCTTTTTTCCTGTTCTTCTGAATAAACAAACTTCATTATATCGATTCCGAGTTGTGCGCGACTTTTATGGAAGAAACGCGATTTGAAGCGCGCGTAGCCCTTTGTCAGGGGAACAGCCGGTGTACTGAGCTTCGGTTTACCTTGCCATTGGCTACATATAGCATTTAGCCTTTCTCATTGTGGTCGACTGTGTGAGAATACAGGTGGCTACGAAAAATCGATTCAACTATTAAGCACCTCGATTCGTCTGTGTACGCTCCCGTGATAGCGCGGTACGTGAGAATGTATCATGCATTAGGAACAATTATGCACAATGTACGAACGCGCTCCTCTTTTAATATGTTGACAAATGTATATTTTACAGCTAGTGTAGAGATAGTGAAGGGAAAGCTTGAGTAGTTTCAAATTGTTCTATTTTTTCATAATCTTTTATTTCAAAACATGCGGGTATGTTTCGCATAAAAGATATCTAGGTACTTTTAAATGGTTGCACAGAGAATTGTGCAATCATAGTCACATGAATACTTAATTCAATTTCTGACTAATAAAATCAGTATGACTAAAAGTCATATGTCAATACAAAATCTACATATTTGAGTCCTGAAAAAAGCATGTATATTTACAATAACAGTATTTACATATTTACATATTTACAATAACAGTATATAATATACATAATACAAGTATACTATCGACGGTATCGATAACGCTTGAAATGAAACCACAACTGAAAAATATTATTGTGGAATTGACATCTGAATCCTCGTTTATAGGAATATTCCCATTCTCGATTAACGATTTTAAATGCGATGTCTTCGTATGGGGGACCGGCATGAAATCGTAAAATGGCGAAATCCTTATTATCTGCGCAAGGTGTCTGAAAATTTATAACGCTTGTTAATAAAACATTGAGATCATAAGATAAAATCAAACTAGGCAATGTCACTTACCAAGAAGTATTCCGGGGTCGTGTTCTTGTCTATTAAATCCGGATAGAATATATTGAACTTGTAGCCTTGAACGATTTTCGGAGGCGGATTATCCATGTCGTAATGGGTCTGATTGTATTTATTCCATTCAAAACCGGTATGAACTCGATTGAAGTATCTCGGCTTTCTAGGCCTGTACTTGTCAGACCATAAATAAATCTGTGCTTCCAACGATGACTCGACACTAAACTGTGCTTCGTCCGAGCTCATGTTTTTACATGCTTCTCTGTGCATCGCTTGCTCCTCCGCGGTCATAACATTTTGAATTTTACGACCCGTGCTAAGTACTTGATTTCGCGCGTATTCTAATCGTTGGTTATCATCCTCTTCCAAAGTTACTAATGTTCCCGGCTCAAGTTGAGAATAAGGTATATATTTTGGAGAGTAACCACCTGATTCATATTCACAAAAAGATTCTGACAAAAGATCATCAGCCGCAGTGACTGCATCTTCGTCATCACTGTGAATGTATACAGCGTCATGTATACTTAGACATTTTAAACGCGTGTGCATATGCGATCGAACGGATACGTACTCTGACTGACTCTCTCCACTTTTTTCTGCAGCCGTGCTAACAGCTGGTTCTTCTTGTTTATCAGACTGTTCAGTGGCTTGCGAATTCTCAGTTTCATTTTCTGTTCTAGCAACTCCTTGTTCCGCGATTAAAACTTCCAGTTTTTTACGTAAATTTTCTTGATGTCGATCTCTTAGCCGTGCCCTCGCCATATGCGCTGCGGAGAATAAATGACTAGTAGAAATAAGGACATTAAGTGACATAAAATAAATTGAGAGAACTTTAAATACTCACCTTTCAGTTGGGATAAAAGACTTTCCCAGTATCCTATGTCGACACCTTCAGGCTTTCCCGTGATTTTTGCTTCAATTTGCAGTTGTAATGCTTCTAATTGTGCAGCTGTTTTTCCTTTGAAGATAGCGGTTACGTCCTTAGCAACAGATTCGTGTATTCCCTCTCTTCTACCAACAGCTGCAAAAATATAAATGTTAATATGCATTTAGGGAATAAATTATTGATCCTCTTATTGTAAAAGTATACTAACCGACTTCATACTCTGATCTCTCTAATTTTCTCAACTTGTGAAGCTCGTCTTCGACAATGACTGTAATATCATTCCAATAATCTAAATTTTTGCCACGTTCTAATTCCTTGTATACTTTGATATCTTCAATGAGGTCTTCTAAATCCTTGACGTGTAATCCTCGCAAATAAGTATATGGTTCATGCATTTCGACAGCATCAACTTCTTCCTCAGCACTAATGTACTTGGCAAGGAGATCAATTGGTTTCGCACGGCCATCTTGTATCCTAATTCGTGATCTCAATCTCGCTTGTTCCAAATGAAATTGATCCTCCTGCCGTGCCCATTGTTCCAACTGAGCTGCCTCTTTCCCCCTTTGTAACAAGGTCATTTCTTCTTCTCGTTGTTGTCTTTCCAGCTCTCTCTCTTGTCTCCTTTTCTTAACTTTTTCTAATTCCCTCTTGTTTTCTTCTTGCTTGTGCCTGTTTCTAATTTCTAATTCCTCACCACTTACATCAAGCAAACCTTCTTTCTCAAGTTTCTTAGACCATACAAATGTGGATAATAAATTTCCATCGCCAAATGGATTATCTGTATTTGTGTAATGTAAATAATCATTATCCCAGCCCATTCTTTCTTTTCTTTTGCGTTCTTTAGCTTCCTTCTTCTTCAAACGACGCAATCTCTTTTCCTCTGGTGTTTCTGTCGCTTTCATCAGTTCCTTTTGACGTTTTCTATCTTCCATTTGTTTCTGACGTTGTTTTTGAAGTTTCTCCAAAAGTTTGGTAGAATCTGAGGAGCTATTGGATGAAGGTGAACTACTAGAATCACTTGCACTTGATGAATTAGATGAAGATGACCTAAAATAAAGTATGTAGATATAAAATATGAATTAGTTAGTTCCCAGCTATACCAATGTTTATAGATATAAAACTTACCTCTTTTTATTTTTATGCTTGGCAGCTTTTTTGCGAGACTCACGCGATTCGGAAAAATCTCTGTGTCCAGATTTCTTATATTTCTGGCTAGAACTTCCAGCCTCTCCATGCCTGGATTTCGAGCTTTTGGAACGATTATCATGGTCACTATCACTATCACTATCCTTACGCGAATTCCTATCTTTATATCTATGTCGATCTCTGCTTTCTCTCTTTGATCTCTGATAGTCTTTCCTATGAGAATATTTCTCCATTTCTGTTGGAAATACGTTTGTCACGTTCTTCTATCGAAAGGATGGTCAGAGAGAAACTGAGAGTGCTCACGCTCAGCAGTTCAGCAGTGTTGTCCGCTAGGATACGAGGATTCTCGCGCATGCGCGGCTTTGTCAGCATCAGCAACGTACAATTTTCGATAGAATGGGGCGCCACGACCGCTCTGCATAATTTTGCGAAAATGATTACAAATTAAATATCAATTTTACCGACAACAGTCTCCGTGTCGGTCTTCTGCCGTCAATATTACCAGCAACAGTCTTCGTCTCGGTCTTTTCCCGCCAATATTACTTCCAGGAGTCCGAGAACCCCTTGGGTTTCAATATGTGCGCGACTATCAGTATAAATATCTAACATACCATTTTCATAATGAGTAGTACAAATATCGGAACAAATGAGTATGGCAAAATGGTTTAAATAAATTCATTGCAATGTGCATTAATAATGTTTGAGATTAATAAATAATCGTGCAAATGTTGTGTATGGGCTTCGCTTGATTGTAAATCGGCTTCTACTGCCTGTAATAAGATGTTCACATAAAAAGTCTACTTCCTATTATAAACTCAATGTAAACAATTACATGTAATATAATGGTAATCAAATTTAAATGTAAGACACACAAATTGGGAGAGAAGCATATATTTCATCGAACTTGTCCGTCCAGATCAAGCACGGAGTCCAAGTTATCGCGGATCGCGGCTATCACTCGAGCAAACGATTTCCCTTCGACATATATATATAATCCTATATCCCATCTTCATACTGCCTGGTAAAGCCTATACTGTGTATATGCTACGGTGGACTTCGCCCCGATTCTTGTCTATGCTACTGTGGAACCGAACAAGGCAGATCTCTGCTAGGTTTTGGCATATGCTACGATAGAGCCTCCTCCTGAACTGGCCACAAGGTGCAACACTTTCGTTGCGGCTTCACTCGACAACAAAGTAGTGAGCACTCTCATTTTTCTCTCTGTCGAAAGTATTGTTACATACTGTTCTGACATTTAACCTTACAAAAACTGATTTAACACTACAGCAACTGGTAGCGACGCCATTGTTAAATTTCACGCAGCTGATTCCGGTTTACTACGTGTAAATTTCCGCTTGCGTTTAATAAATTAATCCAACTCAACAAATATTAAGTGCGTTTGCGGTTTTATAAACATTTGAAAAATTGTATAGAAATAACTTTATTCTCATCCTGAGTCTTTCGTATCATCTTCCTTTTAATGAACATTCAATGACTAGAGAGTACCCTCTCTTCTACTTTCTTTATGCTACATGGACATCCGTTAAAGTTTCAAACACTTTCAAATTCGTGAGCAGCGATACGCACGCCGGTGGAAGGTTTTCGAAAATACAGTGCGATTATTCAGAGCGTTTAGCTGAGGTTTGTCTCGGGAATAAGTGATCATCTCGCGGCCATCAAGATGTCACATAAGATGTATTATTCGGATAAATACTACGACGATAAATACGAATACAGGTTGGTACGAACAGCAGTAATGTCCTATTTAGATTTCGATTTTGAGCAATTATGCCATTTTGAATCGCTTGTATACCGTTAACGTATAAGTACCGTTTCCTGAGCATACGTGTGTATATAATCATTTTCTGAATTGTTCCCATACAAAATTTTATAATAAGGAACAATTTATTTGGTCGTACTTCACGTGCCTAATTCGGTAGGGTCTTTGTTCAATTTTTTGGACGTAGATGTACCGTAACGTTTAAATGGCCGTCTGGCATATTCTTTTGTTTGCTTTGTTTGGCTGTCCATTATTTAGATGACTAGCAGAATCGGAATTCAGGATATTAAAATCATACAAATGTAAATGTTTAATAGAAAATATGCATCTTTTTATTGTAGAGACATATTTTCAGTTTTCAATTTATAGATTATTCTACAAGCAGTCTACAAAAATGAATTAAAATGATAAAATAATATATATCTGGGTATTGATAATTATACAAAATAGTGTAATGATATGTAAATAAACATGTATTTGTATTTTTCTATCAGGCATGTGGTATTGCCAAAGGAAATGGTGAAATCAGTTCCAACTACTCATCTCATGTCTGAACAAGAATGGAGAGCTATGGGTGTTCAACAAAGTCAGGGATGGGTCCATTATATGATTCATAAGCCAGGTATGACAACTTATTGAATTCTGTTAATATGAATCAAATGTTTTATTCGTTTCTCACATATTTTGCGTCTAATAGTATTTGGAAAATAGTTACTCAAGTGAAATTTAAGAAAATAAATGTTTATGTTTCAGAGCCACATATTTTGCTCTTCAAAAGAAAAATAACATCTCCACCACCAGAGAACTAAGTCTGTCAAACACGAAGGTGCCATTTGTAAATAACACTTCAGATTTATAATAGCCAATTGAACTATACAACTGCATTGGTTTTTAAAATTGAGAATAATATACTCAAAACACATAGGCTCACACTTAAAATTGACTGTTACCAAAAAAAGGCATAGTAAACGATATTTTTCTAAATTCTTTATTGCGAGAGTAATACAATCAATATGGGAAGGCAAGTTAATCAAAATAGTAATTCCAAAAACTGTACATATGTCTATAAAGTCATTTAGTTTTTAATTACAGTTTAAATAGTAGTTATCTGAATTTACCATGACAGCCTGGTATATCATTTAAGCGACTAAAGTAAGAAATACCTAAGAGTTCTGATCTTTTTTCTTAAAATCGTAGTTCTGTAGCAGAGTCATTCTGTTAAGAATGCATTGAGGATTAAGGGAAATTGTCATAACAATGTGATTCAAGTGCCTTGCACGAACGTGCTAATCAGTAGGGTATATATACTTTAGTATTACACGTTTAGAATTATCATTCCTTATATTTAACAAGAATGATACGACAAGAGAAAGTGTGCCTTAAGTATTAAGTTCGTTAATTACATAGCTATTGAGATTTCATTATTAACTATTAAACATCAGGTTTTGTGTTTACTACGTATCTTGCGCTATACACTTCTTATTTCACATCGAGCAAAATTTACCAATACAAACATCTTGTGTACAATTATGTTCGGAAACAGCTCTCTAATTATTTAGTTTGACACCATTGTCAGTATTTCTAAAAATAATTACCATGACTTAGTGTTAGATGACTGCCAATTATTTTTTATAAACGAAACATGTACTGCCTGTTCTGAAATAAATATTTGTGACTAAAGATCTCATTCTGCTCCTTTATAACGGAGCATCTGATAAACCAGGTTCGTTTATGCCGATCTTATTTTTTATGGCAAATAAGAAGACTGGCATATGTGTTAAATGGAAGCGGAATTGCGATAGCACAGAGGAACGCATGTGTTTCTTCGCGCGGACACTTGCTCGATAAAAAACTGAAACAAATTTAGCCGAATGTGCGAGAAAGGAGGGACGGAATAATTAAGAGAATCACGTGACTGACCTCAATTCAATTATACAAAACATCGTCGGTCCTAGCGGTCAAGTAATTCTCACACTAATTTTTCTAAATTGTACTCTAATTAAATCATCGTTCATGAACTGGCGTAGATATGTATGTTGTACGCTACAGTTCGTTTCACTTTTATTACATAATTTCGTTATCATTTATATTTTATAATGAGGAAACAAGCGATTAAGGAAAATTCGTTGAGACTGGACCGAATCAAGTTTCGTGTTGTATTAGAAAAGAAGCACAGTGCCCACTAGACTTGAGTACAGTCTACATGATACGAGTATGTATTTTAATACATCGCCGGCAAAAAATACCAAATATTTCGTAACAATTGTGATTTAATCGTATCACACATGTTTCCATTAGCAAACGTTTCTACCGTACACATATACCATATAGCCATTCAGCTACCCGGAGCACACGCCGTTACGTAAACCGCGTGTACGTTTATACGCGCGCGAGCTCGTTCATTGTAGGATCTACCAGCTTATGTGCAAAAGGTATACAAGAAACACAACGTGGAGGGAGTATACGAAGAGTTCGGTGAAAGGGGGCAAACAACGTTGCGGGCACGGAGAAGAGATAGAGAGCTGCCGAAGCCAAGAGAAACTGCGATGTGGAGAGAAAGAGATAGTTTGATCTCTGACGCATATATGTTACATCCACACATGATGCGAAGGGCCCACGATTCTCATGGGTCGCGGTCTCAGTGGTCTCACCCGGCAGTCCCGGCACTCCACGAGAACACGGCGCACCAGACAGTACAACGATCGCGCTTGCGAGAAGAGCGACTTTTCGCGTACTCCAAATAAAAACGTGCTCAATATCCAAATTTAAAAATTAGCACGCGCGCGGACGCGATTACTCGGAGACAAAACTCATTGTTACACCCACCAGTTTTCCTCTCACCGGTCAGCAGTCACCATTCATATATCTAATTCATTGGGTAAGTCGATTTTTGTATTTTAACTAAAATACATGAACAGCGGATGGTTTTTATCGTTGACACGATTTGAATATAGTTCCCGATGCACTTCGCTACGGTCAGTTTACCCCTCTCAATGAACAATGTAAAGAATGATGTTAAATCCGAGACTAAATGAAATCGCGCCTTTCGCGTTTCCGCAGTAATTATGATCCTTGGCACTCTTATGACCATTCTTGTTACGTATCACGTCTATTGCTTAATGAGAAGGGTCGAATGATTTAATATAGCCGCATATCTCGCACTTATTATAATCCACATGCACGAGTAAAGATATTCAAACTATTCGCGCAGGAACTCTCGTAGTAATTTAGAACTTTTCATCTTACTGTTAGAATTAATCAAAACTATTTTCAGCTCTCTAGAGAAATTCTCTGAGATAGTTTGTGTTCATTATTGTATCATTACAATTACTACGCGTTCGTTCAATTTGAGATTTGCCTTACATTCTTTTCTTGAACGTGTCACAATTTTACCTATGCTGCGAGCGTCTTTTCACAGACACGGACTTACTCATCGTTACGTGCTTCGCACAATGAATTTATAATTGTTGCAATCCTTAGCTTATTGAATGCAGATTCTATAATCTAATTCTACTGTAATCTATGTTACGATCTAAACAATAAAAACAGCGACACGCGTGCCTCGAACATTAGCTCGCTTAACGCCGTACCCATGATTCGATAAAGAATGGCACGTACATTCGGTTCCTCTCTTGGACTTACATTTGCCCTCTCCCAGAACCGCTTCTATAAATCGAATCTTTCGATCGCATTTGACGGTGTCCAAGCACATTTTGTTTTTTTTTCTTCCCCGTCCCTTCGACTACTCACACGGGCTAGTACGTATAAAAAGTTCTGTTCTACGAGACAATGATCAATTTTTCTGCGGCACACAATTTTGTTAAGGAATGAAACGTGAAGGCAGATTTCCAGGAGTTTGAACCGGTTAATACCAGTTTCTGCGAGATATACATACCTGTATGTATACATAACACAGACGAGAAAATTCTCTGGCGTAATTTATATTTTTATTCGTTAATTAATCCGACTTATTACATGATAATAAACTAAACATTTTTCGGACAAATGTGCCGTGCGTATTCGTCCTTTTCGGTATTAAACGTTCACCAAGTTTAATTGCACGAATATTAGTTCCCAAGGTGGAAATATATGATACCGGATGCTGCGTGAATTAGGGAGTAAATATGAACTCAACACCACGCACTTTTACGATTAATTGGCGTTGAAAAACGACGGGCGACGCGCACCATCAGAGATACCGCGAACCTTTCACAAGTTATCAATCAACATTTATGAATGTTTCATATCAATTAACGTTATGTAATTATTCATATTATACATCATCGCGCAGGACCAATGAGTCTCCTAGCGCACTGTGAAGATTATTTTTCTTCACACTTGCAATTACGATGATAACTACGTGTTTTGTACCCGGTTGCATTCCGTAAAGACATTTTGCAATACTTTACGATCAAGGTTGCACAGTTACGCGTTATAAATACTGTAACAATATCCTCAGATATTGCTGGGGATTATTCAGATGATAATAAAAGACGTTACTGCTAGAAATGATCTCTAAAACAGTTTTATGCGCCGGCATTGTTCAGACGTACATCATTATCTACAAATAACTTCATTGACGGTATTAAGTCTTATCATGAAAAAAAGTAATTAAGAGATCGATCAGAATTTGAGGAAACCATAAACAGAAACGATGAATATACATAAATACGCTATACGTTAATTACTCACGCTAAGTGAATAGTGCAATTATGATAATAAAATAATAAGAGCATTGACCGCACCCGCGCATACGCCCACTTATTACCAATATAAAATTAATCAGACCATTTTTGCGTAAGAATCTTTATACAAAGTCTTTAACAAGCCTGACGAGACGATATATCTCTTATTAGTTCACAGTTAAAATAATAGCGCATTACGTATCGACCATTAACATAAAGATAACAATATTGATATTTCGCGCTTACTCACATTCCTCCGACTAAATTTAAACTTTAGTCAATGTTTTAAATAATTTTACTGTCATTAATTTGTTTTTATTTACACTAAATTCGCGAGCATGATATTTCGTATATTTTTATTTGCTTTTAATGTTAATTTATTTCAATAATTACCTAAAAATGATAATTGATATATGTTATCGAATTAAACGGACGATCTGTTCAATCCCACATGTGAGTCTACTGTACATCAGTCTATCGCATTCTCGAGGAAATATTTCATTATCATATCGGCAGAAAAGTTTGCGCAATGTACTGTTCTGAGAACCGTGATGTTTGTTCTATTTAGATTCACGCTTTGAAACACTTCTTTACTATTTTTTACGCTTAAGGTAATAAAGGACCGATATGGCACATTCGAGAAAATGGAAAAGCTGCGTGTCGAACAATTTACTGACGTTGCTGACGATAATCGGAGTAGTACTTGGGTCCGTCCTCGGCTTCATCTTAAGGAACGTCAGGGAGGAACCATGGACGCCGCGCGAAATTATGTACATCCAATTCCCAGGAGATATTTTTCTACGAATGCTAAAGGCGCTTATATTGCCTCTGATAATCGCCAGCATTGTGAGCGCGATCGGTGGACTGGATCTTAATTTATCTGGTAACTAAATAAGCACGTATTCTGACTTTTTTTGCACGGGAACTTTTTAGATAACGGATGATTTACAAAGAGCGGATCGCGTGGGTGCACGAAACTTGTTTACGTGAATATACTTAGTCGAGCGCAGTACACCGGTATTTTCTGGTGTGATTTAGCTCGGCAATGGGAAGAGACAGAAAAATACGAATACAATTCCGATAACAGACGCTCATTCTAATATATCTTGTATTAACTTCTGATTATTTTCGAACTACTAACGACTGAGAGAGAATAGGAAATATTTTATTTTACAAGTGAATGCATCCCTCTATCCAAATATCGTTTTTTCTTGCTGCATTTCTTTAATATAATTACGATCTTTGTTATTCAATGAAAATTGCACAACAATTAATATATGTATTTGGATACGTTGCGTAACGTCGTCAGAGAGGGCAAGAAACGAAAGTTTTTATTGACGTAATTTACAGGAAGGATCGGTATGAGATCCATTTATTACTATTCGGCCACAACAATATCTGCCGTGGTCCTTGGCATAATTTTGGTCTGTATAATCAGACCTGGAGAATTCAGCACGCACAGTTTAGTTACTGAGGATACTCCATCGCCATTAAGGAGCGTTACAACTGCGGATACGTTATTAGATTTAGTTAGAAATGTGTTCCCCCCGAATCTTGTACAAGCATGCATCGCTCAGGTATATCAAATTAATTGAGGCATATATTTTATATAACTGAACTGTTTTTTAATGTAAGTGATATTTTCTGCTGCAGTACCGAACGGTGCTGATACCGCCTGAGAATACAACGGCAGGTAAACGTTGAAATAAAAATTTAAAACATTTCGGATAATTTTATTCAATCGAATGTATTTTATTTTAGTTAGTATCCAGGAGTGGGAAATGTCTTCTGAATACGGGGGTGGTATGAACACTTTGGGCTTAGTTGTATTTGGAGTTGTATTTGGTATAGCTCTGAGTAAAATGGGTGAAAAAGGGAAACCTCTTTTAACGTTTTTCGATACCTTATCCGAAGCGACGATGATCATTACTAAATGGGTCATATGGTAAAAAATATCACAAGATATTTTTTTATCGAATCATATCATATACAGAAATGTGATTTATGATGATTTTAATTCGACAGGTTGTCCCCCCTCGGTGTTCTCTTCCTCGTCACATCGAAGGTCTTAGAAATTGCGGATATCGGAGCTATAGTCGGACAATTAGGTTTATATTTCCTCACCGTGTTACTTGGTTTATTCATCCACGGCGTCGGTACCCTCTCCGTTATATTCTTCATTTGTACCAGACAATTGCCGTTTAAACTGATAGGCAAGATGGGCCAAGTTATCGCTACAGCGTTTGGTACTTCATCGAGGTGAATTGCATTTAACTCTCGAAAACAGATTTATACGTATTTGGAAATTATAAAATAATCTAATTTAAACATTCCTGCGAATATATAGCACTGCCACGCTACCAGTGACAATGCAAGCTTTAGATAATATCGGTGTAGATCCAAGAGTTACGAGGTTCGTTGTTCCGATCGGTGCTACCATTAATATGGACGGAACCGCGTTATACGAAGCAGTTGCTGCAATCTTTATAGCTCAAGTCAGACGAATTCCATTGAGTTTCGGCAACATTGTTGGAGTCAGGTGATTATTAAATTAAACAGTATTAACTATTAAAATACTAGTAACTCAACGTTTGAATTATTTCTTGTAGTGTAACGGCAACTGCGGCCAGTATAGGTGCTGCGGGTATTCCACAAGCTGGTCTTGTCACAATGGTGATGGTGCTGGACACTGTAGGTTTGCCTGCCGAGGACGTAACGCTTATCATTGCCGTAGATTGGCTCCTGTATGTACCGCACCGAATTTTTTTTGTATTATACTCTAATTATAAATAATGATTGAATACTCTGTTTTTAGGGACCGTTTCCGAACAACGATAAATGTCATTTGCGACGCACTCGGAGCTTATGTGGTTGAACATATGAGCAAGAAAGAACTAGAAGCAAGCGATCTTCAAGAAGAAACGATCGAATTGGCCAGAGTGCGGACAGCAGACGCATGATCATTTTAATTTATTTCTTAAAACCTTGCCATATTACGCGAACACAATTTTACTGCGTTCGTAATTTTTTTTTTTACGTATTTCACAGTCAGTAATTCGTACTAATATATACTCATCGCGTTTACTCAAATTTTATATTGTATAGTAATCTAATTGTTAAATATTTTAATTAACAGGATACTTATTTTAGCTACTTAAAGGAAAAAGTCAAGTGGTTATAAGCACTAATGTACTTTAAAAGATCTGATCTTGACACATTTTCTTTTACAATATATGAGATATATTGTTGTTTTTTTATTTGAAAAAATATTTTATTGGAATTATTCTTCTGTACGGAATTGAAAATATTACATAATATTAAAACATTCCACACAATCTCTGATTACAAAAAATATGAAAATTATATTCAATACTGTTTTTTTTTATATCTCATTTCTGTACATATATACTATTTATTATACAGATTTCATTAATATACTCTTAAATAATAATCTCTTGTAATCATACACTTAAAAATGTAATTTTTGGAACTTTTTTGTAATTAAAATTTACATATTATTCAACCTGTATGAATTTCTTTGAAATATGTTGTTTAATTGCATTTTCAATACATACAAAATATTTTCTTTCTCTCTCTAGCCTTCTTTCCTGTCTCCTTCATTCCAACCATATCGCTTGATAGCGAAAGTTGTATTTACAGATTCTAGACAATCCTCTTGTATAGTTATGTATTCAGAAGAACTTAACACCCTGATTATCATCAAACAGCATTAATTCTGCCTTCTTGGTTGCCTCTAATGTCTTGAGTGCTCTGATTAGTACTTCGTTGTCCAGTCCATAAAATTCTGGAGACAAAAAAGATTTGTTGATAATGACATAATTCTGCTTAATGTTTATTTCTAAATGGATGGAAGCTTTTTAAAAATACATACCCTGTTCTGTCGTGTCTTCTCCTTGTGTTAATTCAAATAATGTGCACACAGAACCAACGAATCCATTCTCTTGCGCCCAGTTATAAATAATCTCACCCCATTCTTCCAAGGTATGCCAATAAACCAGCCACCTCTGTCTTGTTTTATCTAGAGGAGTTGCATTTCCTGATTTTGCTAATTCTTCAAGTACTAACAGAACAACTTCCGATGGTAGCTTTCCTGTTTAATCCACTAAGGAACACATTTTTTAAGACAAGTAACAAGCTCAGTATTTTTATCGAACGTGGAGAAAAGGATACGATTAATTGCAGTATTGTTAAATAATGGGCTCGAGTGCACTTCTCTCACATCTACAATAGATTGTTTTGTAACACGATAGTATTCTAATATTAAACTTTTCCATGCTGCCAATTGTTTGGCTCTAGTATCTGTATGAGGTTGAAGGCTGTAAACAAATATTTCCTTACTATGCGTAAGTTATATTTAAAAAAAAAAAAAAAAGGTTTTCGTTTGCATTGTGAGTCCGAGAGAGTCTGAGCCTGAACTTAAATTGTAATTTTGTTAATGAGAACAATATAACCTGTTAATACTTACGTGAAGAAAGGAGGAAAACTGTATTGCCACGGCCACTCGATTTCTGCCATTATTATCAAAATTATTGCTAAATTTACATAAATCGTACAATTAAAGAAGAATGATCACACTTCGGTGATCTTTAGAAATATTTTAGAGGAACTACTATGACAGTAACGTCTTCAAATACGCTCGAGTCTACCTATCACTTCGTACTAATTGTACTTCATCAATCGTCAATTGAAAATGAACGTAATATTAATTGTTGCTAAGAACAATTAAGATAGTAAAAAGTTGCGGTAAAAGGCAGGTTAATCGTAATAAATCGAATACAATTATTTTTTTAAGAAGCTTAAAATGAGAATTCTTTATTATACAATAAATCGTAAAGTTCTTATACAAAGTATACGTATGTATCAAATCGATTATAAAATACAGTATAACAAATTATTGTAACGCTTGTAAATGCTTGTAAATGATTACGTATTGATTCTGGTAATATATACCCTCAGTTTCAAAGTCTCTGTACGGCCTTAGACTAGAATAAGGATTTCGTAGAAAATATGCACATTTTACATTACAATTCAAAATTTCATTAAGTCTTGTTTGTTCTTTTTCTGCTTCTACCAAAGTGTAACATGTTAAGATCACTGGACAGTTTTGTTTAGCTATTATTTTCAAAGATTCTCTCCATGTTTCATTCTCCGATCTTAAATTTTCACATTCATGTATTCCTGCATTGTATCCAACAATAACATTTGGTTTTACATATGAATTCTTGTTCGCATAAGTATCATAGAGTGTATTATGTGTTTCAATTAAAAGTTCCTTCTTATTATGCTGACAATTATCACAAAGATTGATCGGTATCACACCTGAAGACAATTCAGGCCCTATTAAATAAATTCTCCACGTTTTTATGTTTGGTATCCAATGTAACAAAATCTCCCAAAGTTCTATACCATCAAGGTCTAACATATTAGCTGCAATAATATGAATATTCATGGTACTTCCTTCCAAAACATATTCTAACTTTTGTATTGCATAAAGAAATGTTAAAGGTCTTGTGAGATATTCTGTATTGATTATCATATCTTCTTGTAACGATATTTGTGGATCTTTTTGGAGCTCAATGTAGTAATCTATAAAATCTTTAATGTTTTCTGGTAAATTTGTATAATTAGTACTGTATGGTATTTTTATTTCTGGTGTCTCTTTTTTATGTGCTATCGATATAGCATCCAAATCGTAACATAATTTTGTAAGATGACAAACTTTTTTATGTACTGTATCATTCTTGTGTTTTGTGCAAAAACTGGCGCTTGGGCAATTATCACAATCTTCAAGAGCTTTAAGATTTCGATCATGACATACAGTGCACGATCTCAGAAATTTGAACATTTCTTCTTCATAATGTTTAAGCTTTCTTCCCATTTTCATCATTACTAGTAGCATGAAATTCATTTTCATTTCAGACCAGGCTTTTGTATTAACATTCTGTTCATTATTTAGAATATTTGATGTTTTTAAAAGAGAGCATATTGCATTGCACAGATCTTTGTGCTGTGACCAATGTGCTTTTTGATGTTCCTTAGAACAATAAGAGATCATAGTGCAATTACCGCATCGTTTTAAAGAGATTCCCTTGCCATATATTTTACAAACATGGCATGCATTCGGGTAAAAGAAATAATTATACTTCAGCACCATTTTACGTATAAATCTTCGTATATAAAATTGTACATATGAATGTCACAATTAAGAAGTTCATAAAAGCACAGTACAAATTATAAATATATTGCTTTTTTGGTGTATATCACTACGATACTTTTGTAAATAAATGCATAAAAACATTACTCATGTTCGTAAACTTCCACGCTACCAACTGGAGAAGAGTGCACCGAGTAAACTCCTGCTAATAATTCCTGCAGATTCATTCAAAATTGTTTCAACAGTCTCAACCATCTCTCAATCTCGTCTGATATATATCCTACCGGGAAGAGATTACTAATTATTATTTATATTTCAAGTTTCTCTTTGTTTCAGCAGTAATGTCGAATGATGTCGAAGTCGGTGAAAGATTGACAATGTTGGCATCCTACGTTTACTCCTCGGTGGTGCGATTTGATTTAAAAATGATCAATTTACATTAAAATCCTTTGAGATGGCAGCACACCAAGCTGAAATTGCGCAATAGACTTCCGGGACTATGTAGTAGACAGTTATAGGTGAAACATGAGTCTACGTAGAGTGAAAACAGTTTAATTTATAAACAAAATTTTTGAAAAGTATCGTGAATAAACGTAGGTCGCGTGTAGAACACGTATAACATTGCAAAATGGGTGTACCAGCATTCTTTCGATGGTTGAGCCGGAAGTACCCTTCTGTAATCGTCGAATGCATCGAGCAAAAGGTTAGATTGTTTATTCGAAAGAAATGTTTGAAATATTATAGAATATTTGCGAATGAGAATAGAATTTATAGTTTTACGATAATTTCACAGTCAATAACCGCGAACGGTGTACGGGTACCTGTAAATTCGGTAGATCCAAATCCGAATGGGGTAGAATTTGACAATCTGTACCTCGACATGAATGGTATTATACATCCTTGTACTCACCCGGAAGACAAGTAAGGATTCTATTAATGAATTAGGTAAAAAATCATTAGAAAAATGTAATATAATTCATATCCCTACAGGCCAGCACCAAAAAATGAGGATGAGATGATGGAAGCTATTTTCGAATGTATTGACCGATTGTTTCGCATTGTAAGGCCAAGGAAATTGCTGTATATGGCAATTGATGGAGTTGCACCTAGAGCAAAGATGAACCAGCAAAGATCGAGAAGATTCAGAGCTTCAAAAGAGACAAGCGAAAAAATTAATGAGATAAAGAGAATACGTTCTGAATTGACTCAGAAAGGAGCTTCTTTGCCACCAGAAAAAGCGAAGGAAGATCATTTTGATAGCAACTGCATCACACCAGGCACACCATTCATGGCAAGATTGTCAAAGTGTCTGCATTACTATATACACGAGCGGTTGAATAACGATCCTGGCTGGAGAAACATAAAAGTAATTTTAAGCGATGCGAACGTGCCAGGGGAAGGAGAACATAAAATAATGGATTTTATACGTAGACAAAGAGCACAACCTGATCATGACCCTAACACGCAACACGTTTTATGTGGGGCTGACGCTGACTTGATTATGCTTGGTCTCGCAACGCACGAACCTAATTTCACTATCATTCGGGAAGAATTCAAGCCGAATAAACCAAAGCCTTGCGATATATGTGGTCAGTTAGGTCACGAAATGAAGGAGTGCACTGGTTCGGAGCCTAATCAAAGAGAAGAGGAGAACGTCTTTGGATCTGAATGCCAGTTCATATTCGTGAGATTAAACGTACTCAGAGAATATTTGGAGAGAGAGCTGCAAATGCCCAATCTACCGTTTAAATACGATTTCGAGCGAGTGATCGACGACTGGGTGTTCATGTGCTTCTTTGTAGGAAACGATTTCCTCCCGCACCTCCCATCTTTAGAGATCAGGGAAGGGGCGATCGATAGATTAGTTAATCTGTACAAGAAAACGGTTTATAAGACAGGGGGATTCTTGACCGATAGCGGAGATGTAAATTTGGATAGAGTTCAGATGATACTCTCTGAGTTAGGCGAAGTTGAGGACGAAATTTTCAAGAAGAGACAACAGAACGAACTGGCTTTCAAGCAACGTGAAAAGGACAAAAAGAGGCGATTGCTGGGGATCAGTAATAACAGACCAAAGTGGATACCCACGGGACAATTTGCACCTATGCGTCTTGGTGAACGCGTGAAACCTGTAGAAAACGCGCGCTACGAAGCTTACCAGATGCGTGTTCATGGCCGAGATTATCACACGAGTTCGAAAGGAAATGCAAATGAGAAGTTAGAGAGCATGATGCGCCCTGAGTTGTCTTCGACTGAAGATCGTAAACGTAAAGTGGAAGAAGATGTCGTAGTTGTACCGGAAGAAGAAGAAGATGATGATCAAGCGCATGACGAAGTTAGATTATGGGAAGATGGGTTTAAAGATCGTTACTACGAATCGAAGTTCGATGTCTGTCCCGATAATTTAGTGTTCAGGTCAGTATATTTACAAAGTTAAGTACGTATGTTACATAAAATCAGTTTGACTCTTTATTCACGTATAGGAATAACGTGGCGTTGCAATACGTGCGAGGTTTATGCTGGGTTCTACGTTATTACTATCAAGGCTGTGCTTCGTGGAAATGGTATTTCCCGTATCACTACGCTCCGTTCGCTAGCGACTTCATCAACATTGGCGGTCTCTCGACGGAGTTTGAGAAAGGAACTATACCGGTAAGTGCTTGGAAAGAAAAGTTAATTTTGAATTAAATAACTGTGGAAATTCATTTCTTGTCTCTTACAGTTCCGTCCATTAGAGCAATTGATGGGAGTATTTCCAGCGGCTAGCAGCAAGCATGTGCCTGCGCCGTGGGCGAAATTAATGAGCGATCCGGTAAGTTTAATGTCCTCGTGAATGAAAACTTCGTTGGGATATTTATCAATCGGTCGATATAAACTGTTTCAGAAATCGCCAATTATCGACTTTTACCCGGAAGACTTCAAGATCGATTTAAACGGTAAAAAGTTCGCTTGGCAAGGTGTAGCCTTACTGCCCTTCGTAGATGAGAGACGACTTTTCAAGGCCCTGGCGCCGTATTACGACTCCTTGACAGAAGCAGAAAAGAAACGAAACGTTCGTGGTGACGATCGACTATACGTTGGACTCGGCAACAGTGGTTACAATTTTGTAAAGGGACTTTATACAAATCGCATGGAATTCGATGTGGAAACTCCGATATCTATAGAAGGCATGCGAGGCACAGTTTTATTAGCAGAAGACTGTGTCGAGGAAGGAGCTACTTTACCTTCGCCGATAAACGGACTGCCAGTTAGAAACAACAAAGTGTACTCTATCAGATTCCGGGATCCGAAGTATGACAACAATTTCATCTTCCCCGCGAGGAAGTTAAAGGGAGCGAGGGAACCGACGAGAGTCCTGAAACCAGAAGACTTCGACCAGAGGAATCACAATACTGGAAATACCTGGAAACCGCAAATCGGTTTCACCCCATCCACGCAAGTAGCTTCCCTGAGCGACGCCGGCCGGAGAATACTCGGACATTTCACAAACCATAACAGAGTGCCACCCCCATATCCTGCCAACCCCGTGCCGATGCAAGCGATGTACCAATCTCATCACGGTGAGTCATTTATTTCAATTTTATTCTAGTTCTAAAAAGAGTTAGAAACTAAGACGGTTATCGCGCTTTAAGTATTGTCCTCGACGCGAGTCATCACCCTCGATCTTCCAAACAATACCGTGATTATGAGGACTGAATTAAAGCGCACGCGACCCGTTCGGATTACCGACGACGCGATTCCTCGTCGAATGAAAAACACGTACACGAGTATTCATTGCTTTCCCCACCCCAGACTCACAACGCCGCGTCCCACCCCAACGCCCGCACACATTCGTTTCGTGCGTCGATGGGCCATGAACGTTTCGGAAACTATCTTTTTTGACAATTTATTATTTTCAAAATATTCTCTGTTCTTTAAATTTGCGACTACGTGAAGTAAACGTCTGAAACTAAAAACTGTTACCGAAGTTGCGGAGCAACCGCGTCTCAATTAATCCCTGACGTCGAACGGTCGTTAACGAGTCGTGACTTCGTAGCCACGCAAGATTTTCTAGAATTGGCGCTAGGTAGATCGTGGCCGAAGGAATTGATTCCTCGAAGGACAGGGGATGCGAGGGGATCGGGAGGTAACTGGAAATCGGGGGTCAGAACGTGGCACGGGGTTGCCGAACCGAGGGGTTCCGGTACCGGGATTAGCTGCGAGGGTAGTTCGTCACGTAGAGCGTGACTCCGTCCGTTTCGTTGTTTGGCACGTCGGGTCGGAAACGACGGTTCCACGGGTTTTGCCCAATTATAAAACAAACGCGGTGCTTTCTGTAATTATCCAATTAGTGGATGTTCCACCACCATCGTCAGCCTCCGGTCTTTCACATATCGTCCGTTACTCACCCCCGGGCCTCGCGTCGATCTGTCTGGCTGACATTACAAAGGCGAACGCCGACTATCGCTTTGTACGAATCATTCGTTATCCCCGTTGTCGCTTATTGCTGTACGCCAGGAAACGACTCTGAATAGACGTTCCTCGGGATAGTTTTTACAAGGAAGCAAATTTCAATTGTAGAATTCTTGTAACTTAAGGATGTATTGGCTATACAGTCAATCCCAAAAGTTTATGCACTTTAGAAACGCATTTTTTAAAAAGAAATCAGACGTCGGAAGAACATTGCTAATAATAAACAACAAAAAAAAATTTTCGATTTTTCCGAGATTTTTCCAAGGGGTACCCCTTCAATTTCTTCCAAATTTTCGTTTTTTGCCAATAACTCCCAAACCGTTGGAT